GGGGGGTGGGGGAAACTGGAGACCAAAGCCAAACCCCAGGGTCTGAGGGAGAGGGTCGGCCTCACTACCCGAAGGAAGGTAACCATCACAATGATACCAGCCCCCTCCCCACGTGCCCACTCTCTGACCTCAAACCTACTCCACGACACCCTTTCCCAGCCCTGTCCCAGCTCCCTAACCACATAAAACCCAACTCCAGCAATTCCCCCCCCCCCCCCCCCTCCGTACCTGGTAGCGGCCCACATCCTGTCCTCGGGTGACAGGGAATTGCTTGCCATTAACATCCGCATACAGGGCGACGTTCTGCAAGGAGAGAAGGGGAGGCTGGGTTAGAGCCACACGCGACGGGTGAGGGACATTGAAATCCAACGTTGCTCCGACTGCTGTTACCCCCCCACCCTCAGGTTCACCAATGCCTCTCGAGGGGTCAGGAGATCTGCCGTCCTTCCCAGTGTGGCTCAACAAGTGACTCCAGGCAATTTCTCTCTCTTCCCTCCCCCCCCCCACCCCCTCCCCTTCCCAGGATGTTCTGAAATGCGCCAACCGAGTCCTTCGGTAGGAACCAGGGAGGGAGGTAGTTTTCCTCCAGCCTGGGAGGGAGATGAGCTCCAAATGCTTTCGGAGAGATCGGGCAGGCATGGATCAATGCAGCAGGGAAGAGAAACAAGCAGTCGGGCAACTTAACATCTCTCTGCACTGCTCTTCCAGCCACACACCCTATTCCCTCCACTTCTCCCTCGTCAGGGGTACATACGGGATGGAGTAGGGCTATAGGGAGACAGAGCAGGGCAGTGGGATCAGTCTGGGGATGGATACAGGGCTATGCGGGGAGACAGCAGGGCAGTGGGATCAGTCTGGGGATGGATACAGGGCTATCGGGAGAGAGAGCAGGGCAGTGGGATTAGTTTGGGGATTGATACAGGGCTGTGGCGAGGGCATTAGTTTGGCGAGTGATACAGGGCTATGAGGAAGGAGCGGGGCAGGGATTTTAGTTTGGGGATCAGTACAGGGCTATGGGGAGAGAGGGCAGGGCATTGGGATTAGTTTGGGGATCGATACAGGGATATGGGCAGAGAGAGCAGGGCAGTGGGATTAGTTTGGGGATTGATACAGGGCTATGGCGAGGGCAAGGGGGATTAGTTTGGCGAGTGATACGGGGCTATGAGGAGGGAGTGGGGCAGTGGGATTAGCTTGGGATTGAAACTCAATCGATCCTTGGAGATCTACTGACACCCACCTGAGCTCCGTTTTTGCAGGTCAAGGAGATTTCCACAATGAAGACGGTCTCAGAGGAGATGACAGCGTCCGAGGTGGTGTAATACGAGGGAACAATTGT